GCACAAAACTGTAGAGCTTGCATGTCAGGCCAGAAGTTCATGCAGTTAAACTTACTGTCAGMGCAACGGAAGACAAATGAGACTGTGTTGTTTATGAAACGTACTACTGTAGATCACTCGGGGATGAAGGGAGGTCGTGACTCCTTAATGCAGAAGGTGGCAGCATGTGTCCTTTGACTTCATGATGAGTTTTTGTGGTTGTGATAATAGAAAAAAAAAGATTACTTTGATACAGCTTCTCTCCAAGATGGACAAACAGCTGTTGTGTAGCTCATGGCTGGGACTTTGATAGAACGACTTGTGTGCTCCTGTGGATCAAGCCCCCCCCCCCCCCCCCCCCCCCGACCATATGCAAACAAAGTGGATTATGATAAAGTAATTTGTTCCATGTCAGAGTGAGTCACAAGTCCAAGAATGAAAAAGAAGAAGAAAAAAAKACATTTGCACAGCAAAGACGTGTCTGTAAAGAGTAGCAGCCAATGGCCTTGAGGTAGTTTGGTTCCCCATCAGAATCTCTGACTTGATATCATGCAATGCTCGTCAAGAGCAACATCTGCTGAAAAGATGCTTGAGTGATGGTCAAAAATGTGCTGGCCCCAAACACTGACGGCATTCAGGCGGATACTCCATCCTGAATGGCAGGGAGATCATTTCTCCAGATCTGATACGAGGATGATACAGAACGGCATTTATGGACACCGTGGGTCACTCTCAGTTCAGGTTTCCTCACAATATATCACCAAAGAGTAGAAGAGTGGACTCCCAAAGGGAACTGTACAACTCCTCAACTCTTCTCCTAATAACATGCAGATGGGCCGCTCTAATGCCTGTTTACATATCTGCGGCATAGTTCATGAGTAAAGTAAGCAAAGGCCTAATTATTTTACTCAGCGATGGGACCAATAAAATCAACTTCCCCTTCTCGTTATGGGTGCTTAAATGCGTCCTTTGATGGCGAGGTTTTGTTTATTTTGTAAGAGTYGCGTAGCTGAGAGGAAAGCAAATAGAGGTAATGACACAGACATGCTGACAAATGAGGGTCCTGGTGATGAATTCATTTGCTCCGTGATGCCTGGAGGGCTGGACGGCAAAGGTGGCTCAAAACGAGCGGCCAGTCACACAACTGCATTTTTCCCAGTTATAGAAATGTTTGCTTTTGTATGAGTGCATTGTCCCACAAGGCTTTATTGTAACAACCTTATATTTTTAGAATTGTGATAAATTAGTTTTTTAGTGTTTTTGCCCCGGTCATGTCACATAATAAGTTTTTGTTTCTTTTTGCAGAATGCTGTGGAGAATAACTATTCCCATCATACTTGCTGGGTTTTTCTGCATGACAGCAGAAACCAAAAAGCCCCGTCCGCAGGGCTCCATACCCTCCCCGTACAAGACAAAAGGAAACCTGTCGGCGGACCACCACCACAGACTACTGCAGCAGAAGCCGGAGGTCCTGTCTTCCAGCCGAGAAGCCCTGGTCGTGACTGAGCGCCGCTACCTCCGGAGAGACTGGTGCAAGACCCAACCRCTGCGTCAGACGATCAGCGAAGACGGGTGCCGCAGCCGCACCGTGGTCAACCGCTTTTGCTACGGCCAGTGCAACTCCTTCTACATCCCACGCCACATGGGCCCCAGCTCGGGTCACGGACCGAACCGAGGTCAGGCCTCAGGTTCTGGGAGAAAAAGCAACAACAAAGCTCAAGAACCTTTTCAGTCCTGCTCCTTCTGCAGGCCACACCGCATCACACAGCTCACAGTGCAGTTAGACTGCCCCGACCTGCAGCCCCCCTTCAAATACCGGAAGGTGCAAAGGGTCAAACAGTGCCGCTGTATGTCTGTGGATGTGAGTGGTCACGGGAAGCTGTGAAGGAGAGCCTAAAGGTCCCGAGTTCTTCCGAGGAACTTGCAAAAGCAAGGAATGAATTCAATTGGAACTATCCAAGTATTTTTTTGTGCAAATGCTTTRTCCTACATTACAAAACAATTAAAACGTGTGATACAAAGGATTACCACTGGCTAAATTAAAAACATGCAGCCAAGCTGTCATGTCAGTGCAGCTGAAAAAAAAGGTGATATTGGTCTTTGGGTTTAACGATGAGCAACGTTTCCCTGACTGAGATTCCACAAATACCCAAATGAACTAAATGCCTTTTCACAATCTACAAAACAATACAAACACTGAAAATGACTGTGCTGTCCATACAGCATTTGGAAACTTTTCTAAACAATGCAACCACTATAATTTTATTTTTTGCAGATGTTTGAGAATTACACAGCTTGCCCAAATGTTTGCGCCACTTATTTTTTTTAACATCTATTGTGTCCATTATCTTCCTTTGTTTTGATAAGGATGTCTTCATTGTTGGGAAAAGAAGATCAAGAAACATGAAGCTACACAGCAACGACCATKATCCACTTGGGTGCAAGCAGACCGTTTATCATTTACTAGCTAGATAAATAAAAACCTTCTGCAGCATTTGTAATAGTGGTGCAGAGCTATATATACACAAGTTKTTTTTTATGTTCATGTAATTATGTTTAAATATATTAAATCTATTTCATATGAAATGTGTTTAAAGTGCATGTATCACAACCAGACACAATCAGCAATGGCAGGTTTTTATTAAAATTTAGTTTAATAGTTATATCCAATAAATAGACATTTGTGGACATATTTATTCAAAACACTATTATTGCACATAAAACAAAAATCCATTGCTTGATCATATTATAGAAATTCAAACTTTCACACAAGAGGAAAGGTATTTTGCTTGTAAAAAAGATTTCACTCAAAATGAACAGATCAAAAATACTGCTGGATATAACAGAAGGAACTTGTTTCACACCATGAACATAGAAACCTTTGCATGAAAAGAATGCTAGAAAAAGATACAATTTGTTAAACATTTTGACTATCACCAAGATTTTAACACAGTGAAACTTTTAAGAGTAAATCTAACCACCATTTTAACATGCATCATTAAAGCACATCTGCAGCGTCTCAAAAATAAGCCCCTTGCTACAGCATTTATATTGCATCACTGCTGTCCCATAAGGCACTGTACCTCCTCTATAAAAATGTTGAATTTTGTGTTTCTTATCCTTAAAGAAATTATAAATAGGTTGTGATCTTATTGTCCAAAAACATAAAGAAACTGCAATTAAACAAAACGGATATAAAAGCTTGTAAAACTGATTTTGATAAAGTAAAAATAAATAAATACAAAAAATCAATGTTCAGTGAACATTTCCTGAATAAAATCTCTCATCTGAAAACATTTGTTTGGTTGCAGAGTTTCATTTAAAAACAAAGATATTTCTTTGTGCAGCTGGGAACAAAGAAGCACATTTGAATTTTTTATCAATTTCGAGCCAACAATGAAAACAAAATATTGAAATTTTACAGGTGAGCCATGTTGGATTGTGCTTGTGCAAGTGGCTTGGTGAGGATTTTTTTTTGCTTCAGATCTTCTTACCCAGCTTTGCTTTCTGTGAAATTAAAAACACACAAAACYGGGTTGTTATTATCAGCATTAACCTTAACATTTAGACGGGCATAACAATAGAAACATCAGTTTGTACTAAAGAAAAGAAACATGCAGGAAGGTACTGTATATTAATCAAAACAGCAGCATACATACTATTCCTGTGGCATTTTTGGTTGTCACGTTGTAAGTACCCTTCTGCCTGGCCTGCTTGAAGCACTCTTCAGCCATTTTTACCCTTTTAAAAAAACAGCAGTGACCACCATTAATCTATAGCAGGTGTCTCCAAACGTTATCTCCTTAAGAGCTACTTTCACAAAATGAAATTGTCTGAGAGCTACATTTTGCAACATTTAAATTTAAACCATTGGAATAAGCTTATTTTGCACAAAAACAACATTATCTTCAGTTCACATGAAACTATCACAAAATACACTGAATTTACATGAATGTGCTTTGTGTTTATCCATTCATGTTAGTTATTAGTATTTCACACTAGTAACTAGCAAGGGTTTAACTGCAACAGATTTGTGCACAAATAACATTGGGTGACAGGTCTCCGATTTTTTTTCCCGCATTGTAGACTCCAGCGGGAAGAAACCCCCTGTCGTGACATACACAGCAGTGGGAGAGGTTTCTCAGGAGTTTAGCACAGTGTGTCTCAAGGAGCTGTGAAAGGTGTATGCAAAAATGAATGCCGAACAGCCACATATTACGTGTTGTCTGCCGATCGACCATATTGAGCCCTAAACTGTTGGATTGACAACCAAGGGGAAGGGACATTTATAAATTGACAGGAATTAAATTAAAGTTTGTTTGATCAGTGACAAATAAAATTTTGCTTCGCCTAGTTTTTCACAAGCACTGAAGAGCTACTTTAAATGAGCTCACGAGCTACTGTTTGGAGACCCCTGATCTATAGAAATGTCAAGAGGAGATAATTGGGCCACTCATTCTACTGATTTTTTACACTTCAGCCTGTGCTGAAGGAGTATTTTTGTTACGGGTTTGTCAAAGGTCAGCCCTGCTACAAAATGTTTCACTCAGTTTGTTTCTGCATGGAGTGAAAAAGTTGTTAAAATTAGTTTGCACTTTAAAAGAACAAACAATCAGCAAGATGGCATTAAATGTGTGCCCGTGCTCCAGCTGCATATGCCCATTCTCTGGAATTTAAAAAGGAAAATCGGAGTGAGAACTGAGATAATGGACTGTGGCCAAAACAAACAAAAAAAAGCTAATGCTTTCAAATTTGTTTTTATTCATTCCTACTGAACTAGCAAACTGACATTCGACTCCCTTTTGCAAAATAAATGCTATCACAATTCAATCTTCATTGGAGATAATAGACCAATTTGCCATTTGTTGACATATCCAACAATATCTTTACAGTCATCAAAGCACTGGAAGGCAACTGGATGGTGGAAGTTTTGGATCATTTGCCCCTTTTTTTTCCCTCCCTCCATGAATTTGAATGAACCTGATAGGATCTCCAGTGAACTCGAGATGCACCGCAACTTATTAGGGCCGCGGAAACACAAGTTGGGGAGAAATCCCAAATGTACAAACATGGTCGCATCTGTGATGACATTCTAGAATCAGATGGAAACAATGTAGAATCCATGAAAAAAGGTAATTTTAACACAACAGTTTCATGTCTAATCAGAAAAAAAGGCTAGTATCAGTTAAGATGTCACATTCTGCAGCTTTCTCACCGTTCTTGCAAGAGCAGCTTATTCTGTTTCTTCCAGTGCTCTTTGAAATCTGTAGAAAACTCGTGCCAAACGGAGAAGAATGTGTTGGGAGAGACTTCTTTCTCCCCTGCCTTGGGTTTTACCGAGAAGGACACGCTCAACTCCAAAAAGCTGAAGACAGAACAAAAGCATTCATATTTCAAGGCCAAGCTATTACAACACTAGGTTACAGAAACTTGCACCAAATCTTGTGAAATCTGGCAGARCTATGGAAAATGTGCAAAATATCAAAGCTAATCTTAGAATAAGGGGATTTTACAGATATCTGATAGAATAAAAACAAACAATTGTTGCAATAAACATAAAGTAGCAGACTCATGCTATCAAACAGCTTATAGTTTTATATTTACAGCTTTACAAGGATTTCTTCAATGYTCTCATGTACAGACGATAACTGAAATAGTGATGCAATAATGGGAAAAAAGTATGAAATGGATACAAAGACATCCTCYAAAAAGAAAGCATGCACATAGAAGTGGATGACACATGCTAAAGTGTTAAATGTGGCAGCCATTTGCAGTGGATCAATTTAACGGACAGGTTGGTCTGTCTTTGTTTGGAGTGTGCTATAGGAACGCATTCCTGGCCGGCAGAAACAGAAGCCTGGAGCCATGGCTGTCTACTCTTGCTCCACTTAGATAAACAACGTAGACACAGCATAGGGGGCCTCAAGTCTGCTGCAGGCCTGGCACGATGGCCTGCACCTTTTATGTAACTGAAGGAACCAGGAGGCATAAATATTGACAAAACGGCAAGATTATATTTCTTTGTGGCCATAAAAATGGATCACTTCAAACTGTATTGGATTGCATTGCTCTTTAGTTTCATATTCACAGCTACGATCAATGCTTTGACACTTGAGAAAAGACCAAATGTAAACAAAGTTTTGGGGGAAAAATGGCTTTAAAAAACACACTGATGCAAACATGAAAAGCTCTTACATCTGCTGTGTGTCTGTCAGCTGCTTCTCCTGCTTTTCAAGCTCTGATTTTGCTGTTCAGGAAAGTAAAACACAAGTAGAAAAATAAATAAATAAAAATATATCACAGACCAGTATTTGAATATTAACAYATCCCGAAGAAAAACTCTGCACCTATTACACAACATGACCATACAAGAGGATTCAAAATGTCACAATATTTGAGCTCAGCTCATCATTTGCAGGGTCAACACTGAGCCACCAGGATCGTCTCCTGCGGCACGACTGACAAGAGCTGAAAAAGCTCAGAACAAGTGCCTCTTTGTGTGGCATCCCTTCAAATGATGACAGACGTGCATATGTGTGCATGTTTGTAGATGCTACAAATGATAAAATAGCTTCRGTGAAGAGTGACAGCTGAGTGAAACCACTGCTGGGGAGTGGCTCAAACTGCACATCCAGCAGTATTATTTTTTTCTTTAAGTTTGTGTAAAATTATAGTTTAGCGATGAATTAATCCATTTTTATTCCCCTACTGTTCAAACGTACCCATTTCCTATCATATTTCATGCACGTTTAATCTGACAAATGCATCTTTCGTACTACTTATGAGATGACACTGAATGCCTTAGGTGTGTGTCGATAAACAATTTTTTCAACTATGTTATTGGATGTAATTTAACTCTGAMTCTTTCCACAGCAAAGGCACAGTGTGGAAGTAGAGCCTGGTTTGAGTGTTGAGCTTTAAAAAAAAAACAAAGCTTTTGGACAAAGACAACTCTAGTCACTTTTGTCTTATAGCTGCAAAACATTATCAARTGACAGWAGTAGCYGTCATTCATTCCTAAATKAAAATAAAATGAATTCAAGCCTGTCCATGTAAATGAGTACTAGTTTCTGCATGGAAATGACTGCAAYGATTATCGTGGTCACAAGACTTAATCCAATATCACTGGATGGGCGATGTAAAAAGAAATCCTCAGACAGCTTTTTTTTAAAGCTCACCAGTGAGGGAATTGTTACATGAAAAGCTACATTTCATTCCAAATCTGCTCTTTTTTTTCATTTATTCATTTTATTTGTAACAATTACATACACAAACAAATAAAAAAACATGCAATCAAAATAAAATCTAATAAAATGAAAGGCAGCAGAAGAAGAATAAATCTTATATCTGCCACTTTTTTRTACCAAACAAAATAAAAGTAAATTACAACAAAAAATGCTATTAAATGCCTTTTGGTGTGTACTTGGAGTCGCTCTGAGTGCAGAAACTTTCAATTTAGTCTCTCCACTGCTGTGTAGATATCTTTCTGGATCATATTTTTTCCTCATATTTTTCCTCTCTTTCTTTCCTATGACATTTTCTGAATCATCATAGAATTTGTGATGGAATTTCCAAATAAAGTCTGAGCTCACAAATCGACTATTTCATTGTCTTAATTCTCCTCTCGCTCTGGGTCGGACTCTGGCTCCAACATGTAAGGCTGGATAGACAAGTCT